TGTGAGGCGACAGCACTACCTACTGCGCCACTGCCTCGCCCACGTCTAAAACTACTAAGACAAATTTAAACTGCGTTTTTTATGATAAGACTATACTGTATATATCTCTTAAAGCAGCGCAAATGTGTGTGCATGCTATGACATTATGACGTATGTGTTATTTAGCAATATTCTTGGGTCAAGCTACTCAATCAGTTGTTAAGCATGTAATGTCACTTTACAAACAAACTTTAAAAGTAATCGATCAGAGACCAATAAAATGACATCATTGTCAAATTCTTAAAAAATATAACTTGTTAGGTTTTGATGGTTTTTTAAAGTTTTTCATTTTTAAAAACCATGTTTAAGTGTATACATGGTCTTGCCCCTAAAGTAGTCTGAGTTGATACATAAATTTAGCAGTGATAGGGCAAAGACTAGGGGGGCAGTGTGTGGAAATTGTAAAATCTGCAAATGCACAACCATTATGGGTCAGTCCTTCTTTTCAGTGAAAGGTTCACATCTGTGTAATGCCATGCCTGTTAATTTAAAATCACTATCAGAACTTACAGCTCTGTGGCTCTGTATATACTGTACATGTTTGCTGCATTGTCTGTGTGTTTTTTTTTTTATAAAGCCTAATCAGGGATGGGGGCTGCAAATTAGCTTTTTGCCATGTGCCCTATGTTCGCAACATCGGTTGTCTTTGTATAACAATGTCAAGTGTATTGTCCCTGTTAAATAAACAAACAAATTAAAAAAGCAAATAAAATCAAGAACCTGGCACTACATGAGTTTAGGACTACTTTGGCAAATCTTTGTCAAGTATCACGATTTGGTGTTACATCCTCAAATGCCAGTTAAAACTGTACTGTGCCAAAAGGAAGCCCTATGTTAACAGTGTCTAGAAGCGATGTCAGAAAGGATTCCAGTTGCAGATTTGATGCTTAAGAAACATAAATTATTATCTTATTATGGTAACAGTTGGAAAAACGTCATGCTCCTTGATATTTTTTGTGGAAGCCATGATACATTTTTATGATTATTTAAGCGGGATTTATTAGAAGCATAATTATTGTACTGTATAAAATTACATTGAATGTCATGCTTTTTAAATAAGTATTGAACTGTGTTTTGTAATGTATATGTATAACAGGTAATTAACTATTCTTATTAGTCTTACCACACACACAAAAAAATTAAACAGTAGTATAAGATCTTAAGCAGCAAGCTTATTTTTTAGGTTTTCAGTCATGGCTCCAAGCATAACAGCCGCTAAATGATTTTCCACATCCCATAATACTTCTTTTCTCAGAACTATGATGTCATATTTTGTCATCTCCTGTCGTCATTTTAGGCTTCGTGTCTTTATTATGTCTGCATCACAGATGAAGTGGTGCAACTTTGGCTTATTTATTTAATTTATGAAATTTTCCTGTGGAAGCAATTCGACTCAGTCACTCAGTAAAATAAACCACACAGTACCTCCCCATTCCTCCCTCTGTTTTCCACCACTTTTCTTAGTTAAGCCCATGTAGTTCTGCCAGGAAAATAAGCAGATCTCATTCTGGCTGAAAACACGTGGCAGTTTCCGGTCTTTCTCACTGAATTTGGAGTTGCAATTAAAAAAACAAGTTCACTGAAAACTAAACGTCTACATTTTTGTTTGATCATCTTGTCCAAAGCCATTTAGAATGCATGTATTGTAGATATTTGTCAGTGTGTGTATTTTCTACAACTTTGCCTTGACTTTAGTGTTGCCAACACAAGTTTCTGTTCAGGATCAGGCATTGCACAGTGCACTCTCTCACCTCAACATCTGTTTACAACTAATGCCAGATCTCTGCTTCTGCAGTCGTCTTCAGATGAGGGTCAAGCCCTCGCATGCTCACGTTTACAGGTTGCTGTGCCAAGGATGAAAATGCTGTATAAAGGTCAAGAAAAAAAGAAGACACAACCACATGGCAGTTCATAACAATGTTTTCTTTTTTTTTTTTTTTTTTTTTTTACATTTTAATGAAATATGAAAAAATTATATACAGATATACAGAGATGCCTTTTATCATTAAACAAAATATACTATCAGGACTTACAAAAAAAAAAAAAAAAAAAAAAAACATGCTGTTACCAAATAACCATTTGTTCCATATAGGCAGTAGCTCTTCAGATGCCTTTTGATGTTCCACACATACCTTGAAGGAGATTCTTGGTTTGACTGTTAAGCAAAAGTGTCAAGAGGTTCGGGCCATTCTGTAACCAGATTAGCCCCATTGTGTAGCTCTCATACTCCATACTATATTTTAAAGTCAGGTATGCATCTTTTGATCATAAATTTATCTTTGAGAATTAGTGTTTTGTATTGACTGAATAAGTTGGCATAATACACATTTACCTGACTAATAAATTGTTATGTTTTGAATTATTCAAAAAGATTTTGTGTTATTATCTCTAGTAGATTACTTTAAGTCCATAACACCACAAGCTCCTGTGCAGATTAGTAACAGACACACGATAGACGGAGCAGCGTGGCACGCTATACGATGTTCTTAGAGCTTGGACTAACACATTGACGTTAATTCAAGTATACTTAGATTGTAAAAGGCTAATAATGGGTTTTCTATTTAGAACAAAGTATTGTTGAGACTAGTCTAAATGTGGGTAGGCCTTCATCTCTAAACTTATAATACTATTTAAATAATTTGGAGATTATTCAAATTTACTAATAGTTTAAGTAAATTAGTCTGCTTGATTTTATGGTAATGATCATTGTATGAGTAAACAGTTTTGTTTTGATTTAATAGATAGCAGATCTATGTGTGGACACAAAAAATATTATGAACTCAGTATATATATTTTTATATTAGTGTTGGGCCGTTATCGGCATTAACGTGCTGCATTAATGAGAGACTTTTATCCGCTATAAATATCTATTCTATCTAAAGAATAATCTATTCCCAAAGTTGGGCTGGGAGCTGGGTCTATTCTACGCAAGATATGATCACTTTCACCTAGATATTTTAGCGCAGATGTATACATGACCTGAATCAAGTCAGCAGGATGCTTGGCTTTAACTGCAATTGAGCAGTTTCACTTTAACTCATGAACATTTCATTCATGCCCCATGACAAACTGGGGTATTAGACCCAAATAAGGAGTAAGGACTGGTCAGAATGTTATGGAATTTAATAACGCACGCCAAATGGAAAGAAAAGTGTGTTTGTGTGTGTTTGTGTGTATGTGTGTTTGTGTGTGTGGCCTGAGAAACCCATTCTCAAAGACTTTCTATTTGGGTAGCACACATATTCTGAATGCCTTCGGCAGAATTCAAATGAATTCAAATGAACCATCTTATCTAGATAAGTCTAGATCAATTATAAAATTAATCTATGCACACCTATTTTATATATATTGTAAAACACAACATAAGACAATAAATGAATCAAGCAAAAGCTCCATGAGGTTGTACAGCCCACTTGGAGGTGAAGTGTAAAGTAACATATGTTGATGATTCAGTGATTGTAAGTCTACTACAACAAGGAATTGGGGCATAGTCCTGTTGTTTAAGAATTTACTTCCTGGTGTGATAGATTTTCTCTCCAGTTGAATGTAAATAAAACAAATGACATGATGATAGATTACAGGAAGTCTTCTCCTACCCTCAGCATAACAAATATTAAATGCTTGGACATTGAAATTGTTGATACACAATTTTTAGGGGTCATTATCGACAACATGTTGACATTCCAACATAACATTCAGCCTGTCTATAAAAAAGACTTCAAAAAAGTCGGAGGAAACTTCAATCGTTGAGGGTTTGTTCCATGATGACACTGTTTTATGAACAATTTATTGAATCTGTTTTATCTTTCTGCACCGTTGCTTGGTACGATAATCCGAGTCTGTCAAATAAGAACAGGTTGAGTAGCCTTGTTAAGATGACAGGCAAGATCATCGGTTTTAACCAGACTGGTTGAATGGTAATTTACCGTAATTATGTTTTACAGAGAGCTCAGGGTATCCTATGCACCCCGGATCACCCATTGTACTCTGTTTTAGCACATCTTTTTAGAGTTTCTATTTGCAGGACAATTGGAAATAAAAATGTATTTTACAATGATGGCCATTAGGTCATTAAATGAGTCCAGCGAGGATGCATATAAAAATGATGTATTGTATGTTTTGTGGTAATAATTTGGTAAAGGGACTTACAAGTTTTGTAACTAACAAAAGATCATATGCGTTAGTTTCCTATTAGTCAAATGCAATGTAATTTACTAATGCCAGTTACACACACAATGTTAGCTGCGATTTTCACTTGCCAGCAGTCTAAAGGAAATTGCAAACAAACACCTAAAATCAGTGACAAACAGCTGAAAATTACAAATATGGCATTTTAGTAATTGAAACGCAGAATATGGGCTACTGATAACAATTCCAGTAGGTTTTCATTGTTTCATAGACATTCATTTTGGATGAAAGCATTTGCTAAATGAGTAAATACAAATGTCCAACAGAAAATCAGCAAGCATGGTTTCTATGAGTAACCATTCTTACTCATTATCCTTTGGCTTAGTCCCTGATTCGTCACAGCAGGCCTTCTACAAGCAACCGTTCTCTCCTTCATATTTCTCTTTTTCAATGCAAATCAGATTCAGAAATCTGTTTTTCCTGAACATTATTTTCAATGATTAGCCATTATTTACATATTGTGTTAGTTTCCTGGCAAGTGTTGATTTTATTCCTTTTACCACATGGGATGGAGAACATTTTCATGTTGAAAGAATAAAATATAAATAGCATTTGATCTTGGGTCATTTTTAAAACCCTCATGAAATCAGATGATGATTAAATATCTAACACATCTCCTTCAAAATAGCTAAAGATTTCATTTCCACAGTAGATGATTCTGTGTGTCTGTAAACTATATTAGTAACACAGAGCCCTCTGGTGGTTACTGAAAAAACAAAAAGCATCAAGTTCAAGGCCAAACTCCTCATGTTCTTGATCATCTTCTCTTTTAGACACCAATTTGGTGGAAGTGCCTCCACATGTTATCAACGTTATCCTATCAGAGCAAAGGACTCACTTCCTGCAGCAGCTGGGCTACATCCTGGCAACTCTCCTCCTATTGGCCCTCATCATGCTGGCTATCGTTCTCCTCACACGACACCGGAAAAAACAAGGTTACTGTTGTTTTATTGGTCTCATCCATCTGTTGATTTCCATGTTATTGCTCTAAAATGAATATAAATATCTCTCAAGTACATAAATATGTATTTATAATGTAAATTTATGCGTCATGGTGGTGTAGTGTGTACTGCTGTCACCTCACAACAAAAAGGTCGCTGGTTCGAGGTTGGCAGAGGTTGAGAGTTTACATGCTCTCCCCATGTTCACGTGGGATCCCTCCGTGTGCTCCACTTTCCCTTACAGTTCAAAGACATGCAATCAATACAAACAATACAGAAAATGATATGATTTGAATAATAATAATATCAAATTAATATTTATTGACAATGCAGTAAAAATAAAAAATAAAAATAGGTCCCACTTTATATTAAGTGGCCTTAACTAATATGTACCTACAAAGGAATTGATAGTTTGTTACAATGTACTTATTGTGTAAATACATGTATTTACTATGTACTTATGCTTGATTCAATACATGTATGTAATTACATCTGTAATTAAATTTTGTAATTACATTTGTAAATACACTGTTTACCATCCCTTACACCATAACCCACCCTTAAACCTACCCATACCACCAAACCTGTCCATAACCCAACCTCTATCCCAACTCAAAAGCACCCCGTGTTCTCAAATATATTATAAACACAGTAAGTACATTGTATTTATTTTTTTGATGTAAATACATAGTAGTTAAGATCACTTAATATAAAGTGGGACCGAAAAATATAATGCAGTATAAATACAATAGTTAAGTTTTAAACATTTTACACATTTAACATTTTTAAAAGATCACACTTAGCTGATGATTGGTAATAATCTTGTTTGGCATGCTGTCCCGGGAAAGAGCCCTGAGCTTATAAGATCCTCGAGCCCTGTTAGCAGGGAGAGAGGGGAGTTTGAGATATAGGGATGCTAAGGAGAGATATACGGCTTGCTAAGAGCTTGACTATGATGCCAATTTGGAATGTTCAATTTACTTTGATTGCATGTTGTTTGGACTGTGGGAGAAAAGCGGAGAACCCAGGGAAAACCCACAGTGAGAATGAGCAAACTCTGCACAGAAATGTTGATTGGTTTAGTAGGGACTTTCAACAGAGACATTCCTAATGACTGGGCCACTGTGTCGCCCATCTAGAAAGAAGTAGAGGTGGGTAGGGGGATTCTTCAAGATGAAGATACTGAGATAAAAAACTCTGTTTTTGTATAGTGATTTAGGAATCATCTGATTGGTGCATCAATCACAGGCTAATGCGGGACCTGATATGAACAATCATAAGCATGTGATCCTGTCGAAATTAGTAAATAAATTAACTTCACTTAAATATATTAGCCGTATGAATAATAGCTGGGATTAAGTTATGCCACAATAAACAAACAGAACTATATATTGAACTATACATAATAAAGCTCATAATCACTGGCTTATAAATATTTGTAAAAGCATTAGATGTGTACACCATTTCAGAACTTTTATCATGGACACAAAACTTTACCAATATACGTAACATCAAAAGCATTTTTTGCCTGCTTAACCTTGCAAACATCCTGATAAGTGTGAATAATCAGCAAACATTTTTAAACACGAGCAAAATATTTAACTTTAGCCTACATAGATCAGCTTATCAATGAGTGAATCAGAGAGAGCATGCTTAATCAAACACATGACATCAATCACAATTTAACTGCCAAACCTTTTTTTTAATGTCATCAGGGCTACTTTATTCTGAGAGTGGCCTGTTTCTGATAGTACAAGCTCGGGCTGAATGTAGATACACAACTACACAGAGAGTGGAACTGCCATGCATACAATAACTATGAGCTGAGACCGGCTGATAGAGGAAATAAAAATGTGTTTAGATTGAATCAACCCAAAAGTGCTTGCTATCTGAGTACTGTTGTGTTTGTATGCTCAAATATTCTTTTTACAGCAAACTTGATTTAAAATCTGCAGATATTATATTTTATTTCAAATTTAGGCCAAGATTATGATCCACGGAAAGTTGAAAGCCCACCTTTACCGACGGTGACGTATGTGTGAGTATCACAGATCTTAAAATGTCATCTGTGAACATTAACTGTCTAATAAATATATGATTAACTGTTTGTGTTTCATACATCTAGAAGCCCCACGTCAAGTGTTAAGAAAGAATGTGAGCGTAGCTACTCAGACATGAGGCCAAGCATGCAGGAGGAAACAAAATTGGGTGAGTTTACCTCATATTTCCTTCAAATATGCTGCATCACCTTTGAAATAGACTTGAATTTGTGTATATGCCTTTTGTTTCCTTAGACTACAAGAACAATCTTCTGAAGGAAGCAGAAATGTCCAAAATATGCTCCCCAAAAGCCATTGACCTGGACAGAGGTAAAATCATTGATTGTGATTGACTTCTGCCATTTGTCTTAGTCTTTAAAGGGGTTTACAGGTCTAATATGTGCTTCACTTCAAAACATATACATTTAAAGTGTACCAAGACAACTAGAAATACTCCACTACTTGACAAAAGTCTTGTAATTGATCCCAGTTGTAAGCACAACAAATAATAACTTGACTTCTAGTTAATCATTTGGAAAAGTGGCAGAAGGTAGATTTTTGCAATGAATCATCTGTTGAACTGCATCTCAATCATCACAAATACTGCAGAAGACCTATTGGAACCCGCATGGACCCAAGATTCTCACAGAAATCAGTCAAGTTTGGTGAAGGAAAAATCATGGTTTGAGGTTTCATTCATTATGGGGGCCTGCGAGAGATCTGCAGAGTGGATGGCAACACCAACAGCCTGAGGTATTAAGACAATTGTGCTGCCCGTTACATTACAAAATACAGGAGAGGGCAAATTCTTCAGCAGGATAGCACTCCTCATACTTCAGCCTCCACATCAAAGTTCCTGAAAGCAAAGAAGTTCAAGGTGCTCTAGGATTGGCCAGCCCAGTTACCAGACATGAACCTTATTGAGCATGTTTGGGGTAAGATGAAGGAGGAGTTATTGAAGATGAATCCAAATAATCTTGATGAACTCTGGGAGTCCTACAAGAACAATTTCTTTGCCATTCCAGATGACTTTGTTAATAAGTTATTTGAGTCATTACAGAGATATATGGATGAGAGTCATGGGAGTCAAACACAATATCAATTCTTTTTCCACTGCAGCATGACTTTATATTCTATACTGTACATTATTTCTGTTAAGTGACAAGACTTTTTTCTAAGCAAAGTCAGAGCTTACTGTCCTAATTAAATCATTAAAAATCAAGGCATGATCATTTTATTATTAATCTTTGCCTTTCATATAAGCCGACTAGAAGTCAAGTTATTATTTGTTGTTTCTAAAACTTGGATAGGCAACAGGATTTTTGTCAGGTAGTGTAGACTAGAAGGATGTGACTCTTGAGACTTTTTTTCAAACTATCATAAACATGATCAATCATTATGAACTTAATTGTAGTGTGACACTAGACTTACTGCATTTCTTAGGTTTGTGTTTGAGTAAATGGTAATATTTGGTGTATTTTATAACAGTCTGATAACATTTGTTTCAGATTTCAATTAAAAATTTTGTTATTCTGGTCCTTTTCCCCATTCATTCCACCAAAAACTGATTTCTTCACCTCTTTCTGAAATGAAAACATTGGTATAGGTGTTGTCTAAAAACAAATATAATCATGTCTAAAAACATGTCACCTTTATGCAATATAAATACTCTAAAAAACAGCATTTTATTGTATTTGAGTTATTTTGAATAAATGTCTTTAGTAGAGAATAAAACCAACATTTTGTGTATGTATCAATGCTATATTGTGTGTGTGTGTCCAAATTCACACCATCTCTCTCTCTCTCTTTCTATTTTTCTCTTTGCAGAGATGGAAAAAGCTTCTTGGAAATGAGAGGTACTTTGCCACTGGCTGGTCCAGGGGCAGATTGAAAATGGAAGAAGAATGAAATGCTGAGAGGCAGGAGTGTGGCAAGGGAATAAGAGGAAAAGGAGAGAAGGACACAGCTGTACAATTTTTTTTCTGACTCAAGATCCTCCATTGCTCTCGTGAAGCTTGCAGGAAGCAAAAGAGTCTCACCAGCAGTATTTCGGATGACTGATATATTAAAATAATGGCAAACGAACATTTTACAGCACTAATAATAACACAGTCTGCATTTTATTCCCTACATTTGTCACACGCTTTATGAGTGAGAAGTAAACACACACAGACTGATGTGTCCTGAGTGTCTGAATGTTTACAATGGGAGATTTACACTAACTGAGAACGAAACATGTCTGTGACACAAATATATAGCAAACTTAAAACGGTATAAACTTCTTATTTGATATGGAATCAAAATACCGTGCAACACTTTTACAGTTTTAAGGTGATTCATTTGGTAATTAAATCAGTATGGCCACAAATATTGCAAAAGCTATAGCTAAATCACATCTTTTTTTCTCAGCAGGTTTAAACTGTGCATTCTTAAAGCTGTAATTTATAAATGTAGCATTACGCAGACATATACACAAGGATAAAAGGGATAATTTACCCATAACTTAGCTCATAATTTAGCCCAGATTGAATCTAAACATTAAAAAAGCTTAATAAATTATGTTCTAAATGTGAAATAAAGGATAAAAGGGATAATTTACCCAAAAATAAAAGTTCTGTAGTCAATATTGTTGTTTCTTGTCTGTGTTGTCATATAAAAGCTCCTATTTTAGCCCAGAATGAATCAAAACATTAAAAAAGCTTAATAAATTATGTTATAAATGTTAAATAAAGGATAAGATAAATAATTTACCCATAATTTAGCTTATAATTTAGCCCAGATTGATACTAAACATTAAAAGAGCTTAAAAAATTATGTTATAAATGCTAAATAAAGGATAAATGGGATAATTTACTGAAAAATAAAAGTTCTGTGAATACTTACTGACTTACAAAACTCTGGGTTTCTTTCTTTTGTTAAACACAAAAGAAGATATTTAGAAAAATGTTAAAAACATGTAAGCATTGATTTCTATACTTTCCTACTAGGGAAGTCAATTGTAAAGTCTAATTATTTTCTTATGTGTTCAACAGAAGAAAACAACTTGTAAATGTTTGGAAACACTCGAGGGAGAGTAAATAATGAGTAAAAATTCTTTTTTTGCATGAACTACTCCTTTAATTAAATCACACTCAATTATATTTTGCCTATAAAGCTGAATTTGGTCTGTTTGGTCATGTAAAAGCTCATAATTTAGCCCAGGTTGAATTAAAACATCAAAAAGGCTTAATAAATTATGTTATAAATGTTAAACCTACACTTTTACAGGTAAGCACAATTAATTTAGTCAAATTATTTCATAGTGCAAGTCAGGATAATATTGTGAACGCATTTAAATCTTTTCTTTTTTGTTCATTTTGATGACTGTTACCATTTAACAAGCTACATTTCTTTCATTTCATTTATATCCTGTCACCAACAAATACTGTTATCATTTGTATATTTTCATATTAACTTTACAAGCCTTACTAACTTCTTTGTCACTGTTTGAATATTCTATTAGTTCAATGTATTTGCTTCCATGCTCTCTTCTAACCGCCAGCTTTGTGTTCATTAGCAAACAAGTTAGAGTGAAACTGATGCTAATCCATTAAGGTACAACATGAAGTCAATTTTATTTTAGCAGCTTGTACACGGCTGTGTATATTCATAGCCGTGAACATTTCTTCTCTGGGTTACTCAGATCTGTGTTATGCGTAGTTGTATCTTATTAAGGTGAAGCTATGAAGCAATGCTTATGCCTGTTATGATCATTTCATGATACTTTAACTGCCCTTTGAATTTCTTTAAAGCTTCCGTGTAAGAATTTCACAAGGTTGCAGGAGGAATTTTCTGGTTTGATGCTATATAATGGATGCTTGATTATTCTCATCCTGAAGCAGTTTTAGTATTGATGACCTTATTTTCGAGTTCGCTGCCATGTTCAAAGCAGAATCAAATAAATTCAAATAAAAGTTAACCTCTGGATTACTTTGGTTTGATGTAGGTTTTTTTTTTCAGTTCATATTACATTGTAGGCTCAAGTGCATCAATAGGCTTGATGTTTTTGATACTGGGAAGAGATGTTATAATTCAACAAAAAGCAAAATGTCTAATGGACTGCAATAAGACGATGACTGTAGTGTTGCTTAATTTGATTGACATTTCCTGTGATTTTGCCTGGAGTGACATCAGGACTGTCAAAACAATAATTCAGGCATTAAAACATTTTATATTTGACGCACAGCACTGAAAAATGTCTAACACAATGTTCATATATATAATGACAAAGATCTAATTCATTATTAATAATTATTATTCAAACAAATATATTTTTTTCTGAGTGAATGTGTGTTATATGTTTATGAGAAGAATTATTAATAAAAACAGCAAAATAAACCACAAAAGGCTAAGAAATCTCTGTAATTCTTTTTTGTGACTTAAACTATAATCAAAATTACAATAAAATGATAGAAACATATAAAAAAAAAACCAAATGACAAAATGACTAACCCTTAGATAAAAGTATAAAAGTCAAAATTTTGAGAAATTATTTTTTATTTCTGGGACGACGCAGTGGCGCAATAGGTAGTGCTTCACAGCAAGAAGGTCGCTGGGTTGCTGGTTCAAACCTCGGCTCAGTTGTCAGTTCTGTGTGGAGTTTGCATGTTCTCCCTGTGTTTGCGAGGGTTTCCTCCGGGTGCTCCAGTTTTCCCCACAGACCAAAGACGTGCAGTACAGGTGAATTGGGAAGGCTAAATTGTCCGTAGTGTATGTGTGTGTGTGGATGTTTCCCAGAGATGGGTTGCAGCTGGAAGGGCATCCGCTGCGTAAAAACATACTGGATAAGTTGGCGGTTCATTCTGCTGTGGCGACCCCGGATTAATAAAGAGACTAAGCCGACAAGAAAATGAATGAATGAAACAAAAGAAACTATTTCAGCTACTTCACCAAGGAATTATAATAAACTATGAACCATAAAATATGACATAATTTATTAAATATAAAGTAAGTAAATACAAATGTATTCAAAAACAAACAAACAACAAGATGACTAACACTTTGTACAGATAAAATTATACAAATCAAAATTGGGAATTTTGAGAAATTATTTTTTAAATTCTATGAACCATAAACATAATTTAATAAATGTAAAGAAGCAAACATTAATAGCTTTCGGATATGACACTGCCCAGTTGTTTCCTTTTTTTTGTGCACCATATAAAATTAATTACAAACTTGATTATGAGAAGCGATAAATAAAAATCATTTTAATTTACCGCTTCATTTCCCGCTGCCGCTGGAGTCCAGACTGGCCATGTCTTGTCTTCTGTCTACCGCACGATGGCAGCACTGCGCCGGAGAACAGCTCGGATATTCCAGCCTGATTCTCTCAAGGATGTGAACCTTTCCTTCCTGTTTCAGTAACACAGGCAGCAAAACCTCCGCATAGTGAGCCGCACCAGACATCTATCAGGCCTCCATAATGGCTCTGCTCTTATCCCTAGCTTTAAAATGTCGCTTAATCCATAGCTTCAATCGCGCCAAACGCGTGATTGCGTTCATTTAGCATCCATCATCCCAGACCTTTTTATTTATTGTCGCCGCACGTCTGGACTGGCAGGCAGCATCAGGAACACGCGCTGTTCTCCGGCAATTGTTCTCACCATATTCTCATGGCGGAGACTAAAATCATATACCACATAGACGAGGAGGAAACTCCCTATTTAGTCAAACTGTCAGTGGCTCCGGAGAAGGTAACTTTGGCGGATTTCAAAAATGTCCTCAGCAACCGACCGGTCAACAGCTATAAATTCTTCTTCAAATCTATGGACCAGGATTTCGGGTGAGTGAGAGGATGCCAGGTGTTATTGTGTTCCTTCATTTGTGGTATGCAGAACGAAGCTGTCATTGATGGCGGTAATGGTTTTGTCACGTTGGCACCTGCCTGTCAGTGCTGATGATGTCTGTATCAGCATCACCATCATCTCCTCCTTTGTGGGCTCAGCATCAGGACAGAAAGAGTCATGTCCAATATGCCGTAGCGCGACGTACAGTCCGTCTCTTTGCTTCTGTGATTTGAATTTTGAACTGGTTTGTTTTGCATGGTAACCGAAGTTTGACCTTTCAACACAACCAGCATTAACTGGCTAAAAATGATTGACTCCTGATTTATTTGTATATTATGGACTTCTTGTTGTGTCTGTGTTTTCTGTCAGCTTATATTGTGGATTTATTTTCTGTCAGCTTATAAAATCTTTCTTCGCTGGATTACTGGGATAAAATAAATAGGAATACATCTTAGCTTGGCCAAGCTGTTGTTAGGGTGTGTTCACACTTGTAGTTCGGTTCTCTTGGTCCTGGCTAAGAAAGATTATGATAAATTTGCACTTGGCGTTCACACTGCTCATGTTTTCGATTTAAGGCTGAACCAAAATATACTATATTTTACATTTTGTAGTAAAGGTTTAAGCATAAATTTGTGCTGTAATTAGCATTGGGTAAGTTGAACAAAGTAATTAATCACTAATTACAAAGTACATCATTAAAATTGTTTTTGAATTATTTTTCTAATTACTCAGTCTGAAAAGTTATTTAGTTACTTCTTTAAATGCCTTTAAATCTCAGTGCATAAACAATATAAATAAAACTCTTTAAATACTTCAAATTTGAGTCAAACTCATATCTATCAAAATATGAAAAGTAATAATGGCACCATTTTTCATACACATCATCTTTTTATTCTTTTCTGACTCAATTGAATAATTTCTGATTTCCTTAAGCTTGTGCAGTCATCGGACAAATCTTTACTCTCTCTGCTGCTAAATCTGAAAAAGCTCTAACAAGAGCAGTCAAAACAAAGATTGTTTTGATTGAATTAAACCTGCCAAATTTAAACATCGATACTTTGTTTTTCATGGTCTACCATTAGATTTGTACAGCGACTCCGAAGGGATGTGATGGTGGGGGAAAAAATGGGTGGAAAAAAAATGATGAGTGATATGACAAAAATATTTTTAAAGTTTTTGCATTTCCCCTCAAAGATATTTGTGTTATCTTGCAAAGATTTTTCTGTTATCTCACAAAAATGTTAACTCACAAAACTTGTTCCGAAACACTTCCTGTTCACTTCATACATGTCAATCCTCCTGTTTTTGCCGTATATATTCCCGCTCTATCCCACTATCATCTTGTTCAAGTATTTTCCCATATTTCTCCCATATTTTAATCTTAAAAACACATTGAAATGAATATAAAAATGTCTGTAATTTTCTTTCCATTAAAGCTCTGTGTCAATTGTCGGCCTTCCTATGCAACCCCTAAATCAGTGAATCCATGTATAAGCGTTGACTGACTGATTGAAGGACGCGCTTTGTATGATAAACTGATCCCAGATCATATTCTGTACATGCCATTTAAAGAGGTGCTAACGTGCAGGACACTTTAAGTTTTGGGTGTGTGTTTACAGAAAATACACTTAATAATACACTGTTAGACATTTCAAAGGGTTTTTACAGTAACTTACTGGCAACACTGTTGCCAGTAAGTTACTGTATTTTAGATTTACAGTGTACAACTGTAAATCCGTTTACAGCATGTTACCGTAGTGTCTGAAAATGGTTAACTACTGTAAAAACCTAAGTTAACAGTTAGCTACTGTAAACCTTTTAATTTTGTCCTAAATATTTTATAATATAATTTTATTAATATTATTTTAATACTATAGACCTAAAAAAGACACAATTACAAAATATTAACAAAATAAACACTCTTTATTTAAAACATTGGAGATGCTTAAAACAAGCTTTAAAATGTGTAAAAACATTACATTTCAATCATTCAAAATATTTTACTTTAAGAAAAAAACATTGAAAATGACAAAGCACATTAACATACATGTACAAAACTAATTTAAGTGTCTGACCTGCATATTGTTGAGAAAAAAAAAACAATTGTACTAAGTACTACTGACATTAAACCAGACACAATTACAAAATATTCCATTCTTTAAAACATTAATAATAATGCTTAAAGCATTTAAGGAAAATGTGTGAAAATAAAAAATAAAATCAACACATTAAAAATAAATAAATCACACAAAGCACTAGAACATGCATGTACAATAAAAATTTAAACTTCTGAATTGCATATTGTTGGAAAAATAAATATTTGTAACTTTTAGCCGACTCAGAAACAACCCAACTTTAAAATATTACTAGTTCTGGTGTCAAATGCTCAACAAGGTCTGAATTCACATGTTCAAATGCAATTCATCTTTATTTCTATTGCACTTTTACAATGTAGATCAATGATGTCAAAGCAGCTTAACATAGAAGTTCTTATAAATTGAAGCTGCTTCAGTCCAGTTTTCAGAATTGAAGCAGTAAATGTCTCTGCTGAAAGTCCAAACACTGAAGAGCAAATCCACCGATCCACCAATCGTAGCCAAGCGATCCAGTGGCGACAGTGGCATGGAACAAACTTCACCAACTGACGAAAGTGTAGAATAAAATCCCTTGAGAGATACCAGGCTCAGTTGGGCACGACCAGTTCTCCTCTAGCTAAACTTGTGCAAGGCCGCAGTCTAGGCACCAGAGGCTTGAAAGTTCACCAGCGGGTGGTCAGGCTGGCCCATTGGATCAATGCGGAAACTCATTGATCACGTGTGTCTTTTAGGATTCACTCCTCCATGACCACCACAGCATCTGGTCAGGATTTGGCCCAGTCCAGGATTATGAAGAACTCTGGATAAGGACAAACAGACTAACATAAGCATAGAAGAAGCTTGTTTAAAAAAAACAAATCATATACTGGTTAATTATTTTGAAGCATGGCAGCTAGGTTGGGGTAGTTTTCAGCTGGTACTGTGCAACTGGCTCCTGCTCATAACCTGCTCACTACCATGTTTAAAAGAGAACTAACCAGAATGTCCTGTTTATTTTTTTCCCTAACAAGGTTTTACAAAAACATTGTAGCATTTGTGATGGGTTGATTCACAGCAGGACAGATTAGACTATTTGTTTTATGTATTCCTAATAAACTAAAACTGACTGAATACTGATACAACTATTGAGAGTGTCTCACCTAATCCAAGTTCTCAGTTAGCTGGTGAAAGAAGGATAACTCACTGTTGTTCATGGTTGTCATTCTCTTCACTACTTCTCCTGCTATCTTCTGGCTCACTCTGGTTGTTGCTGTGCATTTTGTTTCATCCTCTGGAATTATTTATACAAAAAATTGTATTATTTTATTTATTACAAAATATTTAGGCAACATGAAATGGGGAAAAAGACATTTTATACATAGACAAATGCATGTATCCCAATACTAATTATTGTATTTTTAAATGTCTGACCCATGACAGACCTCAATCTGCTCAAAAATATTATAAACAAAGATGAAAAAAAACCCTACTAAATGGTTTAATAAAAAAGGGAAAACGATATTTTTTATTTAGCTAGCAACTAAACATGTGAAACATTTTGTATTAAAAGTAACGTTACTATATTGAGAAACAAATAGATGTACAGTACTTTCTGTTGTATGAGGTCCAGTTTGCACAGGCAGGCTCCCAGTATTCTATATTGAGACCATAAAAAAGCCAAAAATACAGATAAGAATACCATGCTACAATCCACAACCTCCACACAACTTTTTTTTTTATTTGTTTACCTTGGTTGCTTACTGGTCTTGCTTATTTTTTAAGCATAAGGCTGTGCTGATCAAGATGTTCCTCCGAAATGCTGTTTGTTTCTTCAGACAAAACCTGCTGCTGTGCCAGTGCCATATCTAAACAGAAAAAAATATAATGGTAACAATTATGTTAAACCAAATGTCAAGAGTTGTGATAAAAAAATAATTAGCAAACAATAAATAGCAAAAAGGTGGTTATTAGCATAATGCATAGAGGTAAAATTGGTTTTATATTAGCAGATTCAGACTTCCCCCTTAATAATTTAATTTCATAAAAGTATTATTTGCAAACTCTAAATAGCGAAATCATTTTAGCAGCTAATGACTATCAAAGTACAACATGCTCACGGTCAAATAAACAGTGTTAATGTTGATTTCAAGTCATACTGGCATGCTAATTCTGATCGAATATTCAAAGTAACATGGTAAACAGTATAGAGTCTTCTAAATGAACGAATGTGCGAATATAAAACCAACTTTACCTCTATGCATATTGTATAGATTTACGTTAACGTTCTTATAGGTTACGTCGCGATGTTATTTTCTCAAGCTAACGTTATACGTTACTCTAAACCAGAGAAAAATAAGTTCACAACATCTAATATATATAGTATAAATCAATATAAGTTAAACGTTGCACGTTAAAATGAGTTTGAGTCCAATTCAGTATAAACTTAGCTCAGTTTAGCTAACAGTTAACATTACCATTTTAAGATCGCTTCAGCCAATGTTGCCGAGCAAACAAATGCTAATAGAGGTGCTCAAATCAATGTCGAGTGTTGTCAGCACAGACAGACGCGCTTTTACCTGGATTATTTGTTGGTCTTTCATTCATATTCTTCTGGGGGAAAACACTCTCTGCCGGACCGTTGTCTCGTGCTAAGTGTCCTCCAAAACTGTCTGCATACCTCTGGTTCCCTCCTAAACCAAAACCCGCTGCAACACCGGTTCCTATGTAAATAAATAAAAATATATGACGAGAACAATGGCTAATAGTCATAAACAGTCTTATTTAAAGTAATAGTAGTGTTAATGTAATAAATTAAATAAAGGTAACATCTTAATAGATGATATATTTCTCAAATGGGCGAAATAACGCCAAGCCAGAGAAAATAATAATAGCCAACTTTATACTTTACTTTGTTCTATTCT